TTTCCATGCGCAAATTTTAAAGCCGATTTTAACTAACTATCAGAACTAAGGTGACATAAAAACAGTCTCTAGAATCTGCACCACACTGCAGTGTTTCCCATTCATTGATTTATTTATGGCAACACGACACAATATCAATGTTGACATAGGCTACTATTTAATATGGAGCTTCACGGATCTCTCTCTCTCTAAAACTAACTGAGAAGTTCATCTATCTATAATCTTAAGACAACTCTGTCAATGTCGGAGACCCACTTTCAAATCAAGCATGTAAGGAGCCTAGCTAATAAGGATAGCTATGTTAACGTTAGAATACAGCTGGGTTGGCAAGGTTGACACGCTGTGCGTAGTTGTCAAACACCTATTTACTGGTGAAGATTGAACCGTCAGAGAGCACGACATTTCAGACTGACTGCAGAAAATAAAAGGACACACCTCCGCCTCAATAACACACCAAAGAGGTACTGCAGTACTTATAACGGAGTATCCATTAAGCATATGGTGATATATTGCAATGCAATGATTCTCACTCGACAGCCATTACTTTTCAGCCAAATAACCATCTGAGGCATCCTCAGTAGCCAAGTACACTCGCAGGATCTTTATCCATTCTCATGGACCTGCAGTTGGGTATTGAGATATCAGCACAAACCACTCATGGACCGGACACTAAAAGAATACTTAAAAAAATAAAATAAAATAAAAAACATGCTTGACAAAGTGAATCTGATTACATTGACATACTAACAACAAAAAAAAAACTTGCAACAAACTAACAACATGGAGGGAGAGACAGCAACATTGTTTATTGTAGTACCTACAAAAAAAAGGTACCAATACATGAAATTTTAGCTAACCTGTTAAAAACTCATTAAATAACTACTTTATTAAATTACAACTTTCACCATAACATATATTAAATGCCAGCCGGACATTGTTAACCTATTGATACAAACACAAATTGAAGTTTTGCTCTACTCAAATTATCATAACTGCAGTTAAATTTAAAATGATCAAATTAACAAGATTAATTCAATAACAATTTTGTGCACCCGTGCATTTCCTGGTCATCAAGGACTAAATCATAAGTCCTGTGCTTTAGATAAGTCATGTTGAAATTTGGTGTGTCAAGACTGAAAGCATGTGGGTTGTCATTCAATCCTCAGTATAGTACCAAAGGTAACTGTATCGATTAGTTCCTCCTCTCTGGTTTAAGGTGTGAGAATGAGTGAAATGACTAACTGTAGTCCCTCAGTCTTCCATGGTACTTGGACAACACTGCTTTAGAGCTTTTTTAAATGAGTAATGTTAAACGGTGTGAGAATATGCAGTAACTAGTTAAGACTAAAAACACAGAATGATGCCACAAACCCAATCGCCACATCATGCACAGGGTGAATTTAACAATTGCAAATTGCCACATATTCAGTGGTTTTGACTTTCAATTCCCACAAACCAATTGGCAATTTTCTTTTGGAAGTATCTAGAAGATCTTTTGTATTCATACATCCCCTGTGACTGGTCAAATGTTAATTTTACATAAATTCTAATATAGTGTCCAGGATGAGCATGGTTTAAGATTTTTTACTGTTTTTGTGGATATAAGATAAATACTAAACATAACAAGCTTGTTCTCATGAGATCCAAGTTAATGAAATAATAATTTAGTGATCATGGCATGGTTTCCTATGCATTGTTAACATAAGCCTTTTATTCTTGAACTGTTTTGTGATCAGAAGAACAGAAAGGCAAACTGCTCCCTTGTGATCACAAAACAATTGTGATTGTATGATCACATAACAATTACTTTGTAAATAGAAGAAGACATCAAAAATTGTTACTTCTGCCTTTCATTTTCCAGACTATACTAGCATGGTCTTACATTTTAGGCTTTTTCTGTCGTTGCATTTCACAAGACATTAGAAATATTTAATATCTGACAAACGCCATTGTATTTAGAATCCTATGTGAATTAAGTGTTTATACTATTTGAATAATCTACAATTTGTTGTTTTAAATCTTTATATTGTGATGTGTTCATATTTATGTCAAATCTATTATAACACCATGGCGAAAATATTTCCCTCCCCTCCCAATATTAATAGTACATGAATGTATGTATGAGGTGAATAGCATTTAAAGCTTCGTTTAAATGTGTATGAAAGGTGTCTCTATGGAATAGATCTTTAAGTTTAGGCATTTTAAATTTATGGTTGACGTTTTGTTGGTTCAAAGCAGTCGTCGCACGGCCAGCCATCTAAAACAGGCTGCTTTTGTATCAGGCAACACACCCCCAAGATGTCACAGTCACTGGCTGGGAGGCGCAAGCTCCTTGTTATTCAAGCTATGCTAGTTCCTTGTATGAATTGGCAAATCAAAACTATATTTTGCACTAGATTTGATTGATACTACTTCTATAACTGTGCTGGGTGTAAATAAACGAAGTCGTTGGCTGCTCATTGCAGACAACACCACCCACCCCACGGTAACGTTGCTCGTGCTTGCCTTCAATGCAAAGCCAGCAGTATGTTGTTGAGCGCTAAAATGTTCAACTTGCCTAAGGTTAGTAAACATAACGAGCTCAGCTATCATTAACGTTATGCCCTGAAATGCGCCTCACACATAAATATGTCGTGTAATGTCACTCCGTGGCCAACACAACGACTACTCGAGTTCGTGTTTTAATGACAATATTCAACACGAGAGCACAGCACAGCCTGAGACAAAAGCCCACTGCAGCCCCTTCACTGCCCTCATAGCGTCCCCCCTCCCCAGCGCTTAATCTAGCTAAGTTAGCTAGCAAGCTCGTTTCCAGCCCTACACAGCCTCACTGGCTGCCTGACTCGGGCTAACCCAGCTCTCTCAGTTTCGCCCCGACATTTTCCTACCGCCTTTCTGTACTCTCGCTTCAAAAGGTAGCGAGTTATTAAACGCAGATACTGGTGAGATTTCAGTTCAGTACTCAATGTGTGTAACGCACGTGGCACACAACTATACCAAGCCCACGCAGACACACAACATTTCATTTTCGCACGCAGTTTACTTTACGTTAGCTTAACGTTAGCCCGCTCGCTGTACAACTTAGCCAGATGGCTAACGTTAACTACGTTTTTTACCCCTTAATATCCTAGGCAATTAACCTTGTTTTGCACTCACCTTTTCACTGGGTTACGCGTTCCCACCGACTCATTCAGGTCCAGCTATATGTGAATATTGCGCAATATAAACAGTTATTTCCTAAATATTGGACGTTAACCGTACCCTACGGCTGTGTGACGTTCATCGCTGGTTTTGAAAACATCCCAGCCGTTCGTCGCCTCTCGGAGAAAAGCCCAGCAAAACATGCAAGCGTCGTTCTCATTGGTGGTGAGGAGTCATGTGACTGCTTGAGCTTCACCAGGCTTATAAGGTCTCCGTCTGCTGGAGAGACTGAGATGGGTATGTCTCAAACGATTTAGTTCTTGTTTTATCGATGATGTGAGTAAATGCGCACTTTTAATGTTAAGCGTGTTCTCTGCGCTTTTTGACTTTGTCAGCTAGTGGCGTGTAAAACATATGTTTAAGCCTATATTAGCATGTGAATTTGGACTGAAAGGGATGGACAGGGAAAACGGGCACTTGACGTCATCTTTTCCGCTGCTGTGTTGCGGGCAGTGGGAACTTTCTCGAAGATCACGGTTGAGAATAACTGTCAAATGGCAGCTCCTTTCTTTCTTGTGAGCACGGTTACATAGCTTGGCAACAACTTCATTAATACGGTGGTCACTTTAATTCGCCATTTTAGCCCGCCAACGCGTTGAATCGGTCCAATTTGAATTGGTTGCGCAGTGACATTTGCATCATGGTGTATATTGCGCGCATGCGCATCATGAGGCATAATATTCTAGTTGCAGAGCTCCAAAGTCGCAAGAGGAAAGCTGAGTGGGGGAGGGGCACCGGCTAGACACGGTAACGCCACCGGGGCGTGATGGAAATGACAGTAGTACCAGCAGTAGTTGTATGAAGGAGGCTGGGGCAAGAAAATGTATAATAGCTTGACTGAATTAAATTTAAAGATGTATAATTTACGTAAATATTAATTTAAGATGGCTATAATACGATTTTAAATGAGTCAAAGTGCTCATTCAAGATATTTGTAGTTACATTGTGATTACCAAGAAAGGTTACTTTTGCCAGTTGTAGCTTCCAATTAATGTTATCCATGTTTGTAGTAAGTGATGTGAGTTGTAGATGTCTTCATTCAAAATCAAGCCTAGTTGAAACACAAATTTAAGATATTCACTGAAACATTACTTTATTTCTTTTTCAATATACAATGATAGTCAAAATGGCCTAATTGCAGAAAGCTGTAATATAAATTCAATCAATTCTGACTACAAATATGTATTTGGATGTTGTTTTTTGTGAATTATTTCTGTCTTGGGGGATTGATTGTTATGGAAACATTTCATGTGCCACAATTGCACAAGATAAATGCGAATTACTCTTGGACAATGGAAACTGTGACATAAGCTTATTTTCTTTTACAGCACAGCATCATGTGGTAAAGATAGGTGAAACATAATAGCATTTTCTCTAAAACTGTATGTTACAGAATATAGGTGTTGTTCATTTGTCAGCTACAACAGTCCAGAGCAGAAAAAAGCCTTACTTAACTGCAATACATATTTAAGATCAGGGAAAGACATGTCAGAATATTAATTCTGGTTTCCAGAAGATATACTAATATAAGAGCTATTTTTAAGTCTATATATAGATATATCAAGTTCTGTTGTCATGTGTGCCTAATAGATGCTGTAGTTTTTGTCACAGGCTAAATTCAAAATGTATAATCTGTAATCTGCGTAGATCTGTTTTCAGTTATTACCTTTCCATTGTTCAAATCATGTAAGTGACACACTGACACCTAGAGCATAGGTACATGGACAGTTTATTTACACAATATGTTTGAGTTAAACATAATATCAGCTTCAGGGACAAGTTGCTTTTGAAAATGGTGGCTTTTAATGTCTACAGGTCTGCTCTTACACCGAAGCCTGGTCCTTTAGGAGGCTCTGTTAGAGAAGTCAATCCACCTGCAGGCTCACAGGAGAAACGCCCACTCCTGAAGAAAAAGAAAAGCAAAGTATGTCTTACAAGTACAATCAGTGTACGTACAATGTTTTAGTCAATTCTAGAAACAGAAAAATGTTATAACTAATTAATGATGGTATTCCATATGTACCTGGGCCCAGGTGCTGGGACTTTGCCTGCTTTAAGTTCATCAATAATGTCCTCAATGTCCTTAGGTGTGAGGTCCTCCTGGAAATCAGAAAGCAGAATAGTACCCTTGTTTTCATTGCTAGTGGTCTTGTGCTGGATAATTAAAAAGGTCTTAACAGTTTCAACCTGTATGAGCACCTTCTCATGCCTATTAATTTCAACCCTAAAGACAGAATGGGGAAGGTTAGGAGGTAATACTCAAATAATACTTTTGCAATATTACAAGAAGCTTATAATTATAGCTGATTCTAAAAAAGCAATCATTTTCAGACATATGAAAGCAGGTTTTACGAAGCTGGTCAAAATGATCAGACTTCCTGAATTTCAAATTTTATTTAATATTCAAAATTTCAAAACAGTGTGTCAGTGATGAAAGGACATGCACAATAAGGCCTAGTCCACACGTACAAGTAGTTTTTTCTCCTTCATTTAAAAAAAAAAATCTGTCTACATGACACAAAAACACACTATCAAGCGCTGTCAACAGCATGCCAAGCAACCAGGCAGCGATATGACCCTAACCATAAAGCCACATTGGCCAATCAGAGCCTAATAAAATAAACAAAGCAGACAGTGGCGTACAATCTGACATCAAACACAGCAGATAACAGCGTGCACTCTGACGTCGCAAGGCAAAAACTCTTCACCCTGGCAGGGGTTTTCAAAAGTTGTTAGTTTCAGTGACCTGATACTGTGTTTCTGTGTGGACGAACGGCCAAACTGCATAGGAAAAGTCACAGTTTTGAAAATACCCATGTTTGTGTAGGCAGGGCCTAATTCTGCCCTTTGACGCTTGTAGCTTCGAAAACTGAATCAGGTCTAATAATAGTCAGTATGTTCCCTAATGTTTTTTTTTTTTGGTTGTGCCTGTAAAAATTTATTATATAGTATTAATGGTCTAAATGTCAACAAATGCTCTGACACCAAAATGAAAAAATCCAATATCTGTGGCTTAATTGCAGGACTGTGATAAGCACGGCCTATCAGCACGGACGTAAATGGGTTTTCAGGGAGTGGGTTTGGAGGGAGGCTTGCACAGATGGGGTGGGATTTTTTCAGTTGGATACTTTCAAAGTCTAGCCATCTCTTGCTAGTTCTCCAACGTTGCCTAACCTAGCTTTAAGTAATGATATGGTTTTTCTTACAGTCACTACAACCTGACATGTGCGCGGTTACAAAAATATTTATAGACAAAGACTGCATGCATTTGCTAATTATCCGCATAAAATGCTAAACTCAGTACTACCTGTACTGTCTGTGGTAACACACTCTGATTGCAACTCAGCTATTTGAGGTGCTACAGAAAATTCCTACTTTCTCAGTCATATTTACTTTAAATGGGTCATTCACTTCACGTGCTCAGCTTGCAATGATTAAATTCCCCATGGCAAATGAGTGCAGATACAGTTTCAGATATTGTTAACCACAAATCCAAAAGGCGAGCTTTTCATGTCACATCTGGCTCATAAAGTTAATATTTTGCCCAACTGAGGTCATGGACAAGACTATGTTGTTATTCCAGCCATATTGTTAATTTAAGATTGATTATTTTTCTGTCCCGGCTTCCATTTCCTCCATTCATTTGTTGCAAGCTTTATATATGCAGACTTTACCACACCTTCATAGGCTTCCAATGAGGGGGGAAAAAAAGGTAGCACTCCTGAAATAGGACATTCTTTGCAAAACTAATTTTGGGGTTTTAACCTAATTTTGATAATTTTGTTATAATGTTCAGTAAGGAAACCATCTGCAGAGTAGTCAAGCGCTCACATAATAGTTGTCATTGATCTGGACCATTGGAGCATTCACACAGGCACCCAGGCATTCCACTTCTATTAGCGTGAACATCTTGTCTGGAGTAGTCTCTCCAGCCTTGATACCTGTGGAAAAACAAATGAAGACATGCTTTACATTTAGCTAATCTCCTCTGACAAGCTGCGGATTATGTTACTGGAACAGCACACATTTTTACCTCAAGCAGTGCTACCTGACGATAGACAGCCGTAACACTATATGTAAGTCACAACAAGAAGTATAACATCACTATTTGGCTCGTATAAAGACCAAGCAAATATGAGGGCGCTCCATTAAATGCCACACAGACTGAAATAGGTTAGCGGTTGTCTGGCTTGGTTTCAGTCTTGTATGTGTTATTGTTTGCTGCTACAGGCTCACTGTCGTTTGAATTGCAGAGACAAATGTATATTTACATGTTTGTTCCTCCCAATCTGTTTATCTCAAATACACACAATAAAAAGATTGTTTTCATCTGCAGTTTTATCTCTTTATTGGTATCCTGTCTTAAAACAGAATCTGACTCTTACCCAGTTTGTTTTGGATGGCCTCCAGGATGCTGTCTGAGTTGCAGAGCATGCAGGGTGTTGTTGTGCAGATCTGAATGAAGTATTTTCCCACAGGCTGACGCAGGAACATCGTATAGAATGTCGCTACTTCATACACTCTCATTGGAGGGATTTCTAGCACTTCTGCGACCTGAATGAAAACAATTACAAACATTTAATGTGGTTTTCTTAAGGGGCTTTCACACCTACCTCGTTTGGTCTGGACTTTCGGACTTTTCAGTTTGGTCCGAACCAAAATTGCAGGTGTGAAACCTCCCACGGACCGGAACAAACAGACGAAGTTTGGTCAGACGAAAAGATGTTTTCTCGGTCCGGATCAAACTGAACCATGGTTCGGTTCATTTCTGGTGTGAAAGCATTTTTTTGATGGTTCGGACTTTCAGACTATTTACAGGAAGTTTGGCGGTTGCACAGAGTTGCACAATTATACAGACAGACAGGCACTATAGAAGCACACTGCCACATACATCTTTGGTTTCTCCTGAAACGGAGGTGCAGAAGGATTGCTTGCTGTTTTCTCCTCCTTTCCTGTCAGCAACGATATAATGTTCGCACAACGAGGACGTTTAATTGCAAATTTGAACGAGCCTATAGTTGGTGCTCCAGGTAGTAATGCCATAATAATAATATAGTGTCAAATATGCATACCGTATGTTAATTTTTTATTCATTCATTCTTGTCAAAGATACCCGCTGGATTGTTTAATAAACCAATCGATGTCAAATACAGGGAAACGCAGCCCACATACGACAGGACGTAAGTCTGTCATGTAAAGTCCTTTAGTGCAGTCGCAGAATTGCAGTGTGAAACCAAACCAAAACTAACTGAATGTATGAAAACATGAACTTTGGTTTGGACCTTGGTGCGGACTTTCAGGTGTGCAAGCACCCTTATGTGACAAGTAAGATGTTGGACAACATTTTAATGAAGGACCATACACTGCCTTTTTTCCCTTAAAGGTTAAGAAAACTAATTCCAGAAGAATCACCGTGCCTTGTTCATGGCGGAGATGGGGAGCCATCCATGTTGCCTCTGGGCTACATCCAACACTGGGATGGTGGCTGACTGCTTGTGCCCAACAGGGTACATTGAAATGATGGCCTCAATCCTCTACAAGGGGAAAAGACATTTTGCCATGAAAGTGGAGTTGCTCAGAATAAGAATCATTGCATTCCTATTTTGTACTTCAACAAGTAGAACAATTTAACAATGCTCACACAAAAGCATTACCAGCACAGATATTTACATGCCCTTATCCTGTATTTTGATTGACATTGGCTTTAAAAAGTAATATGAAGTTGAATTAATCAAAATAAATTGTCTGGCTGAAACTAATCAAACAGAGACTGGCTTAAAAAGGGGGTAAGACTTCCACACCATTTATTTTAACAATTAGTAACAGAATAAGATTAAGAGAGGCATGTCTAAAAAGCTTAACTTGCTTGCCTGCATTTGTATTACTGATTTATGCATATTGAAAATACAGGTTGGAAAACTTTGAGATATTAATATTGGTTTCATAAAAATAGTAAAAAAAAAAACATCAGTGCATCCTCTACATGTACGGCAGAATACAGACGTCAACCTTACCTTTTTGTTCTCCTCTGTGAACTCAAAAGGAGTATCAGGGTTGTTATCTGGGGTATCTCTGTGCTAAAACAGAAAGACCACAGTGTTAAAGGACAGTTAACATTGTTTTCACCAAAAAGTATAATTATCCTGTCATCTTTGAATAACATTTATTAGCTGAGTTATATTAAATTGTGTTTATAAGCCATCAAAAATGTGAAGTTGCTATTAAGGGTGAATTTTTCCTCCACAACTACCACTTTCCTGCGAGTAAAGTCTTATGAGCAGTATCTAATTGTATCTAATAAAATATGAATAACCTATCATGTAAGCATGTAAGCCCAGAGGGGGGAAACAGGTGTTTCCACGAGACCACAGAAAAGACTAAAAACTGATAGCAATTATTTCAGCTTCTGTACACACTGCCCCCTTGTGAGCAGCAAATATCCTTTGTGCAATTAAGAAAGAGAAGCACTTTAAATTTAATGGTGTTTGAAGTTAAAGATGTCTAAAACAACTTCCCTGATATAAGAGGAGTGGTTCAAAGACAATTCATCCAGACTTAATCTTCAATTTCAATCTCCAATCTCAAACCAAAAACATCTTTACCGTCAAGGGACAATGAAACCATGGCATGTTTCCATTACATGAGAATATCGCCTGTGATGTTTTTGTTGCAAAGCTTGGCTCTAATAGGCTCTAAAGGCTAATCCCAGGATAAATTAAGAGCGCATGGAAAACTAATTCCTTTGAGATTTCGCAAAAATATTGTGAGTTGTGCATTTACCCTCTTTACACATTAGTTTTTTGCCTAATTAATTTTGAAGCAAATACAAATAATATGACCTTCTGTAAGTCACAGGTTTGACATAAAGTGATCGTGTACAGGTCAGTAATAAGGACAATTCAATCATATAGATTCTGACAATATTGCATATTATTAGGAATGTTATGAGCACCACAAAGAAACCCTGATTTCTGTGCTACCTGGTAGCTCAGCGCATTCACTGCTTTCCCATGTAAAAGTAGTCCCTAATTTAAAAGGTAGAATTAAATCTACCTAACAAAATTGAAAACCATAAATATTCTGGCCCCATTAAACACTGAGGCCATTTTGCTCATAGATTGAGATGAAGCACATGAACAGTTTAACAATCAATTCTTGCAATAATTCACAATAACCCCCTAAAGGTGCCCATTCATTGTAACCCACTAGGTCCAGTTCAGCACTTAAATCTAATTGTGAGGGGTTCAACAGACATTTAACAAGCCTGACTACACAGCACTGGTGGCTCCTCTCTATCCAACTTCTACTGCACATTTCTTGACTTTGGCAAAGAAAGTAACTCACCACAAAGATGCCACCAGCTCCAGCGCGCGCAGCAGACCGGTGCAGACTCCTGACCTGCCTGGCCTGCAAGTGCAGAGAGGGAGAAGACAGATAAGAAGTCTGGTAGTATGTGAATTAATAACTGAACTTCCTGAGAGAGAGACTTATGTGTGTTGCTTCAGACAAGAAGATGCATGAAAAGGATGGTAAATGGAGTTCAAAAGGAAAATAAAAACTGGTGACAATGTTTGTCCTTCATTTTCCATAATCAGGCAAAATTCTTAGTGCTAGAGACAGAATAATTAACATTCCCTAAATTTTAATAATACAATTTGCAGGTCAGTTAGCAAGATACAAATCTGACTTCTCTGTTTTTTATTCAAGAGGCTTAAACCACCACAACATGGGATACCCTCAGAGAAACATAGCTTGAGCAATACTTTGTATTGGCCTCAAAACGTATACATTCCTAAATAAATTATACTCTCAATTTACACATTTCAGGGATATAAATACATATACTTATGCATGAATAGATTAGTATTAGTTTGATACATTCTTGGTGTTTTTATTTGCATCTTTATATGGCAGTCACTACTAGAAATATATAGGACAATCATAAAGGCTATTACAGGTCTGTTAACCACCTTGATCTTACTTAATAACGGCAATGATTTGCCACGATACCAGCACACAAACAGACACCGCTCTCTATAACATCAAATGAGTTACGTGTTTAAAACTTTCAGTTGTGCTAACCACAAAAAAACTAATAATCAATGTTATACAAACGGGCATATCCAAGTTATTCTAACACGCAATTGCTTAAGTTATGTCCAGAGGAAGTTTGCGTTTGCAGTGCTGATTTTGTCAAAGATCACCTTGTGGACGTTTGACAGCAGCTAAATCGGCTAGCATGCTAATGTTACCCAACGTTAGCTAGTTAGCTTAGAGGCCTCCACTGCTTGCCCTTGTGAGGAGTCATATCATCTCCTCTCCAAATTATCGAAAAGAGCATTTCAGTCTTTACTCAGAACTATAAAGAATATCACAGCCATACCGTCTGCGATACTGCAGAGCGAATGGCTGCAGACAAAAACATCTTGGGGATCGACGTTTGGTCCCGGTGCGTTAGCAAATGGACGAGACTGCAGCTGCCGACATCAACACAAGCGTTTTCACGCTCGATTAAGAGGGTCTGACGTGCGACGCTACGTCACTCAGGTCGCGACGCAACTGAATCGATCCCAGATTGAAATTTGAGCTCAAAAATTAAAAAAAATGCCAACAGCCATTTGGACATTTCCTCTGAGCCAAGTTATGTAACCTGAATGGTTGTACATGCTGCATGTTTACTAGCGTCACTTCTTGCGATTTATTTTTCAAAGATTGAAGCATTGAATGTTAGTTTTAGTCTAGTTCTGTCAGTGAAATGACATTTTCTAATTTATTCAGAAAATCTGACAGACTAAAACTAGGTAATAGAAAAGAAAGTTGTTTAAGTGGCACAATGTGACATATGTAAGCTGAGTCAAAGAACAGAAGTCGAACAGGGGTTACATTTTTATATGACACAAATAACTCACTTATATTTTCGGTATCGTGCAAGTTAAATAAAGATGAACCTATAAAATTGGAGCATTTAGTGACAGTTCCTTGAGGATCAGGGGGTTCGTTTACTGACTGTCAGTGAACAAAATGTCCTTTCCTCTCTCTCTTTCTTTGTTATTCAGACCCTCCCTGTCAAACGAAATCTCCATGTGCCTGCCTGAATCCCTAGCATTCATCCTGCTACACACCTCCTCCTCCCCCTCCTCCTACTTGCTTGGAAAATAATGCCATAGACAGGCCAGGGAGGGCTGATCCAATGAAAAAGTGGGAGTGCCGCACCATGTGAGCCGATTGGCCGCCCTGGCTCTAAGCAGACTGGTAGAGAGTCTGCAGCTCAGGGATTATTGGTGGGTCTTATGCATGCTGGATTGTGTTGCTTCTGTACTGGAGGCCTTATAGTGTTCTTACCTTACCCAGGAGGATACAGACAGATCAGCAGTGACTCCAGATTAACCCATTTTCTGACCCTCAGATGCTATAGGCCCATCTACATCTGTTCCACAATGGTTGTTCCTGAATCTCATGACAAAATGTACTACCCTCCTGATGACATAAAGAGGGATGCTCATGTGCCTGATTTTAACGCCTATCTGGCACTGTACAGGAAGTCTCTTGAGAATCCAGAAGGTAGGTCAAATGCATCTTCTTCTTTTTTTGTGCAGTACTTGCAGTGTTTGCTTGCATCTCACCTCCGTCTGAACCTGCATGCACACAGTATCTCTTTGTGTTTATCTGCTCTGTCTGCAGCCCGGGACACTGACATAAAGTATCACTTTGTTTCAGCTTTCTGGAAATCGACTGCAGATGAGTTCTTTTGGAAGGAACCAGGAACAGGACCGCTGATGCAGTACAACTTTGATGTGACAAAAGGGAACATTTATGTCAAATGCATGGAAGGGGCCAAAACCAACATGTGCTATAACGTCCTGGACAGGCTTGTGAAGGAGAAGAATCTTGGTGAAAAGGTTGCCTATTACTGGTAAGCTACAACCTCTGTCTGAGATGAATGACAGCTTTGATGGGAAGTACTGCCTGGAGTTATGTCAGTTATTCCAGTCAAAAGCAACTGTTGTGTCCCCTGTGCCGACTCCAGTGCACCAAAGCAAACCTCAGCTAGTACAACACAGTGTCATTGCTTCAGTGTTTCAATCCTCTTAATCAACAGAGCACATTTAACAGGATTTGCTGCAAAATCTTCGCAAATGTCATCTGATTTGGGTAAAACACATTTTCCAGTCTAGAAACAGCAGAAGGTAAAAACCCTGTAAGACTCATAAAAAATCATTTTTGGTGTTTTATTACAGTAAGAGCCTAATGGATCGTTTTCAGTTGCTATATTTTGGATGTAAGCTCATACATCTTCTTACGGAACTTCTTCAAGCTGCTGACTTCCACAAAACTCCTTAAACTACTTTTTAACTTACGGTAACTTGCTGCTTACAGTAAAGCCCCACACCCTAAACGCATGATCATAAAGGCTCTACTTTTGTTGTTCTGACTTTACATTATGGTACATATTTACTCTGTCAACTGAAGAAGCTTAGCAAACAAGAAATTGGTCCAGCACAGCAGGGGTTCAATGGAACTGGGCACAGTGGAGACCAGCCATCACCATCATTAACACTGTTTACACTACATCAAAACACTTACATAATATATCTGCTCAAATGTTTGCACATAATATGAGAAGAATATAGTCTGCCAGCTGTTTTATTACTATGTAATCGAGCAGTGACTAGATGGTGTGGTTTGACCTGTTAAACACCTACATGACTTTAGCTCACACCTTGTCCAAACAGCATTTGCAAATCTCAAAAGGTAGGACACCTCAAAACACATTTAGGAGTCAAATGTGTGTCCTTTTATTTGACTTTGCTTGGTAATGCCTCTAGCCTTTGCATTTATTTTTATTAGGGTCTACTAGATAACACACATACCATTAGATCAATAGATGTTTGCATTTCAAAAGCAGAAAAGTTAAGCTTCAAGAATTAAAAAAATAAACCATTTGGTTTGAATTGTCAGGATTAAATTTACATGGGAAATTAAGAAGGGTCTCAATGCTCAGTGATGACAGGGGTCCCGTGGCTGAAGTGTCACTCTTTGAATAAATACTGTTTTTAACTAAAAGCATACCCATTGTCCATAAGTTTTTCTTTTGCCTTTCAAGTGCTTGTAAGAAATGGTTTCAGCTTCAAGAAAGCTCCGCAACATATTTTCTGTCTCAGTGGGTAAGTGATAGTAGTAAAAAGATAAACATACTGTATCACGGTATTGAATCTTAAGGACCAATTAGAGCGTTAGAGTAGTCGCCATTTGATTTTCCTCAATAACAATATGATAAATATTCAATAAATGTTTGATTTAATTCATTTGAATCACAAACGAATCAGCACTTAATTTTTCTATTAAGATATTTTATTTTGTTGAGGAAAAGCGACTGAAAAAAGATTTAATTAAATTTTCCTCGTGCATATTTGTTGAAAAAATATTTTATCAAAATTGTTTTGAATGTGTGTACCTCAGATTTATTAAGTCTTCCACTGTTTGGCATAAAATGTGATTTGACATTTATTGTGATAATTGATATATATATCGAATGATATGAACTTTCTTTGCTCGATAACATTTTTGGCCATGTCGCCCGGCCCTACCTTAGAGGTAATTTATCAGCTGCTTCTAAAACAGTAGAATACATTTCATAACAAGACAGAATGCAGAAAAAAGTCTAAAGGCTTTGACAAAAATTTTGTGTATTCTCATCTTTGACTGAGAAGGGGAGTCCAGTCTGAGAAAATATCTGCACAATTTAAAAAAATTATTTGACAGATTATGGAGAGATCTGAGAACTGGAGTAATGTACTCAGCTTTCTTTGTTAGATCTTAAGCAGCTGTATTTTGAATGAGCGATAGTTGTCAAAGAGCTTTTTCAGAAAGAGAAAATCCTATTACAGCATTTCAGCCTACCAGAAATAAAGGTGAGGATTAGGTGGTAATAGGCTGTTATTGTCCCGACATGGCCATTAAAATTTAGGTCTGAGGTTTTAGTTTTTAGCAGCAGACAATAACAATTAACACAACTTTCAGACATCTTAAGCACAAAAATAGAAATGCAGTTTCATCCTTTAAATGTTGGTGTTCTTGACACATCCAATCCTTTCTTTGCTCATTTCCAAGACTTGGCCCCTGTGGAGCTTCACATTTGTTTTGGTTTGCTCTGGTACATATTTGCCAATAGACACAAAGTAGTAGTCAAAGACCTTTAAAAGACAATCAAATGTGTGTCTTTTCACATAGTTATACAAATACAGAGCATTTACTTCTGCTAAGTAGCAGACAATATACATATAAAAGCAATTATTAAAATGGTAAACAGAAATAAACTATATTTAATGAAGCAGTGCTAAGGCTGAATTTCAGTGTAAGAGTCTAATAGCTTGGGGGTAAAAGCTGCTCTGCGGTCTGGTGGTGCGGCAGCTGAAACTTCTATATCTGAGATGGTCCAAAATGATCCAGAATTAAACAGAGTTCAGGTTACTTTATCAATAGCATTTGTATTTGTAGAGTTTCATCACTTGTAATAATTTATTTCACCATCATCAGCCTGGCGATAAAGTTGATGTTTTGGCTTCTGTCCCGCACCAGAGGCCTGTCACCATGATGTCTGCTGGTCTGTGAAACTTTGTGCTGCATACTTTTCCAAACAACTGTCCTGACAAACGTCCAAACCCAATATAGACCCAGCAACAACGGGAACAGGTTATCTCCTTTGTGAACTTACAGAGTTCACAGAGGAGAACTCATGTCTGAGAAGTTACTTTAAAAAAAAAATAGTATCTGGAGGGTTTTTGAGTCTATCATGAAAGTATATTAAAAAAATGATTTGCTCCATGTAATCATCACATGCAGACAAAGCTTCATATAATCTCAGACAGGTTTTGCATTACATTAACAGATTTGGGTTGTGTTTCCCCTCTTCTATGTGGTCTCCTCAGGGAGGGGAACTCATCTGATCACCACATGACCATCACCTACCGCCAGCTGCTGAGCCAGGTCTGCCGCTGTGCTAATGTCCTCAAGCAAATGGGTGAGAAACAAAAATCTTACATCTAAAAAATATTACCTAAATATTAGCTGCCTAGTAGCTAAACATAGAGAGGACTTGATCCTTAGAAATCACCTCTAAAGTCAAACCATCTCTCAAAAATGAAATTTACAATAAATGAGTTTTATTGTAAAGTGAGCAGCAGTAGTCTATATGTTTAGTATGCAGATTTATAAGTAAAAGTATAATCTAAAACAATTTTGTGAAATGATGCAGTGATTTGGCACAAAACTCACGAGATATTACTCCGTGCCCAATGATGGAAATACAGCACAGCATCTGGCCCATATCCAACATGTTGAATCCTAAAGCTACATTGCCAATGCTGGTTTGAGTTTAGAAGAAGCCCATATGCGGCCCAGTTGTGATTTGTGTCATCCAAAACCTCCAATCTGCTCATTTCTTTTTTCAAGGTGTAAAAAAGGGAGACAGGGTGTCGATCTACCTTCCCATGATCCCAGAGCTGGTCTACACTATGTTGGCCTGTGCAAGGATAGGCGCTGTTCACTCCATTGTGGTGAGTAACATGATGGATGTTTGGCCTTTGTTTCACCCATTTTGGAGAAGCATAAAGATGTAGCATAATTTAAACATATCTGTTCACATATACAGTAAGTTCCAATCTGTGTAAAGGAAACGTTCTCCTTTTTCAGACAGTGTTTGCTGCTTTGACCCCATTTCTATGAGCAAACATCGCTTAAACCCGGGCTCTTGCTTCTGTTAGAATAGATAATAGATATCAGCTGTTCTCTGTGTGAACCCAGCACTGGCTGCACCTGCACTCAATATATGGGCCAGACATTTACTGGATGTATCCATCTTGGGAAGGCATCAGAGCCAGTGCAATTTTGCAAGCAAGCCAACTCTATTTTAGCTCTTCAATGTTCCCCAACTCTATTTTAGCTCTTCAACGTTCCCCGTCTGTGCAAAGGTTTTTAGCCCTGTTAAAAATATCTCCAGGTTGTTCCTAGGAGGGCTTGTTTCATGACTTGTAAAAGCCTGTTCTTGGCAGACTTAAGTGTAAGTGACTTTGTCTGTGCTTGGTCATTGTACATTTTCCAGCTCTGAGTTTTTGTCATTTTTGATATGTGCATCATATAAGAATCTTTGGGATTGTGCCAGCCTCTTGGATACTCATGTGACTGTTAATGTTAATCATAAATTAGCTTGGCATACAATTCAATCATAGATGGAGTCAGGCTGGACAGCCAACGCCACTCATGCAGTGACATTTTGCTGACTCCAGAGTTGTCAGTGACCTGATTCATAATGCTGTCATCAAGACTGGAACTTTATACTCTGTGAACTATTCACCTTGGCCAGAACACAAGCGTCTGGTCAGGGACTCAGCAAATGACAATCATATTAAAGATTAATTATAAATGTCTGGTTCTTTATGTAAGCTTGAACAAGGTGACTCATCCATACATGGTAACGAGAGGGAACAGCATGTTTGCACAATGTAATGTAATGTTTGCTGAACTGCAGCAATTGTGGCCACAAGTAACAATTAAGGAATAATGCTAAAAGCTAAAATACATTGTACCACTAGCACATGTAGAGTCGTAAAGTCAGTGAACTGACTTAGTAATGTCAGTTACACAGCAATAACCACCCGAAGTCTGCTAACATTAGCTAGCATAAGCCACCACATGCTACTGGTCATACCACACCAAGTAAGGCTGTAGCAACGAGCAAGGGTGCGTTTTAACGCTTATGAATTCAACTTTTCATTTGTGAGACAAACAATGTGTTATTTCTTTTATCATAGCTTATGTAGTCATGCTTAAAATTTAAGTTACAAGTCATATCTGAGCTTATTTTTTTGATTTGTTTAGACACAACATTAAACTTTTAATGTACAATTGGGGTTTATTACAACTTGGGGCTCTTTTTCATAGACCATTATTCCTACTGACAACTTGTTAGCTTAATAGTTTGGACGATAAATCAAAGGCAAATGGTTAAACTATTACCCAAACTATCAACTGTAAACATCCATCACAGTTTAGAAACCTTTGCTGGTTCAAAACTATTTATCATAGTTGTGTTCCCACTTGTTTCCTGTGCAGTGAGGGATTATTACTAGCGTTCTGGTTGCACTCGCTCTCGGTTTTACCTCCAAATAAAGTGGTTTAGATCATTTGGCCTATTTACAGCCTGCCATGTTTCTTGCCTGGTTGAACTTTGCTGTGTCATGCAACAATGTTGCATTGTTCCCAGATCTCAGCAAATACTTTGATGAGTACAATATTATCATTACCAAGAGAAATGATGGACAAAACTAGACAGTAAGACCCAACATCTCCTCCTTTCATGTTTCTTCCTCTTCTTCCTCTTTGCATGTTCAGTTTGCAGGTTTTTCCTCCGAGTCTTTGTGTGAGAGGATTATGGATGCTCAGAGCAGCGTCCTGGTGACAGCAGGTAGGTCTGGCAGCACCAGGATGTGATGTGTGGTTAGCTCTCAGGCTGTAAAGATAGTTGTTAGAGTTGTAAAGTGACTCAGTGTTTATATATATATACCTTCTCCCTGCTGGTTCACACACTTCATCATCTGTTTCTACCCGCCCCTTACTCCCCCCCTCAATCCCTTTGTAACATGCAGATGGTGTTTATAGAGGAGAGAAGCTGATCAACCTGAAACAGATTGTGGCCGAGGCGCTGGAGAAGTGTAGGGAAAAGTAGGTCCGGCTGACAAAGCCAGCAGTTTCTCTGTTCTCAGCAACCGCCCTTATTTACTCTAGCTGCTGGTAATGGGTCTCAGCCTCTGGCATATGAGTCACTGGACACACACACACACGGCAAAGCTGTTATCAGGGATGTTGAGGAAACACACTTCCTGGTTTCCACAATGCTTAGTTGCCGGGCAACATGGGGAGCTCAGATTCATCAGGGAAGCCCAAGCTGCCTCCCCCGGTGGCAACACTGGGAGAGATGTGAGCTGAGAAACATAGCATGCTGGAAATGGTTATCTGGTTTAGTGGTATAATTTATAAAAAAAACATATAGTGATATTGTCAGTTATATCGATGCCTTTTGTCAAAACTAAATTAGAATTCAACATTTTCCACACAAAACTGTTTAATCTAAATTATATTTATTATTAACTTAATGTTATATTGTGTATTTTTTCCCCCTTTTTCCCATTTTTTTCTGATTGTAAAGCCCTCTGAGACAAATATTTTGTCTATATAATGAAGTTGACATGTGCAGTTGAAAAATATGAAACAAAAGATGAGATGGAGAAAAAAGTAATACCCCTACATTGAAATTTTCACATGAGATGCCTGCACTGTACTGCCTCTCACCCCCTTTCTTTTTTACTTCTTCACAGAGCCTCAGCCAGTGTCACTAAATGCCTTGTCGTCAAGCACCAAGCACTGAGGACAAAAAGCGGAGCTGCATGCAACAAACTACAGGTAGATATGTTTTTTTCCTTTTTTTATTACCAAATGTGTTGGTTTACAGCTGTATTCTTCAAGCCAAGCTGTGACAGCAAGGGTGGCATTATCTGTAAGGAGTAGGGTGACATAATTGTTGAGATAAAGATGTGAAACTCAATAACCTACAGTGGCACATACTGCGCAGTTCCAAAGCTCTAATCAGCAACCAAAATCATCATCTACATCTCCAAAACTTTGTGATTTTTTTAAAATTGAAGTAAGTTTTCTCTGGGGTTTTTTTCTTTTTCTGGTTTCACAAGACTAAAATGCTAGCTAACTACTCGCTAATATTAGAATAGATAGCTTGATGACAAATTAATGTCATAGTGAAAGTTTTACACACTAATTTAAGTATGTACAGTAGGGCTAAAATATATTGAGAATTCAGATTGTAATAAACACTTCATTGCTCGCATCTGAGGCTTAAACAACAACAAAAAAAACCACGTTCTCTTCCAATTTAGGATTCAGAATATGCCTCCAAAGGGGCCCAGTAAATTATAGTCATTCCAAATTTTACATGGTGCGTTGCTGCCTTTTGCTTTTGGAACATGATGTGATTAGTAATGAGGGGCTTTATGTGTTGCATCTGTTCCCTGTTGCTGTGGTGTGTTCAGACCCCCTGGGACGCAAAGTGTGATGTGTGGTGGGATGAGGCGATGAGAGACTCTCCTGAAGAGTGTGAACCCGAGTGGCTGGACGCTGAGGACCCACTGTTTATCCTTTACACCAGCGGCTCCACCGGCAAACCCAAGGTGAGACACAGGTGTATGTAAAAAGCAGTTTTATAGTGGGGGGGGGGGGGCACGCTGCTCATTTTCTATTTTCTCCTTGTAAATTCTCTGGGAAAATACATGTTTTAAATCACAGCGACTTTTTCCTTCTCAGATAAGCCTGTAATGGTGTTAACCTTGCTGGAATTTACATAATACTCTGTCTGATGTGAAAAAGTGAATATTGATGGTTTTCTCATTGCTAAGAGCCATAAAAGCCACCCTAGAAAGTTGAAAGCACCACAATTGCATTTGTGTTTTGTGTTATTATAACACAACACATGGGTATCAGAGCATCAGATGGTATAAAATAATCTCTCTGTCTGAAACACACACCTGAATACACATGCAGCGTCGAGAGCCCCTTTTTGCTGCCTGCTGACTTTGTGTTGACCAATTATTTCCTCATTCACGCTACTGTCCTTGTGTATGGTACAGGGAGTTCTCCACACTGTTGCCGGGTACCTGCTATACACTTCGCTGACCTTCAAGTATGTTTTTGACCATCACCATGACGACGTGTACTGGTGCACCGCCGACATCGGCTGGATCACAGGCCACTCCTACATCACCTACGGCCCCCTTGCGAACGGTGCAACAAGTGTCCTGGTGAGTTTGAAAATGGCATTAGAAGACACATTTAGCGTAAATGCCTCTAATAGCAGCTGAAAACCAAACAGCGGTAGTGTTTGTCATTCTTCTTGAAAGATGCATGTGTGTGCCTTTCCTACAGTTTGAAGGTATTCCAGTCCACCCTCATGTCGGCCGGTTCTGGGAGATCATTGAGAAGTACAAAGTCACCAAGTTCTACACAGCTCCTACAGCCATCCGCCTGCTGATGAAGTATGGACGGGAACCGCTGCAGAAGTAAGAGCTGGCGTCCTCTGAATGTCACAGCAGGTCAGAAAATAAGAACATATTTTCCAGAAGCAGAAGGAGTTTGACTTTCAAAACACAGCTTGACATGATAGGTAGTCAGAGTGAATTTTTGCAACAACAAAAAAAAAAATCCCGGCTTTCATATGGAAATTTCCACCTTTAATTTTAAAAGACCTCCTCCTCTCTTCTCACTTCATATGTAACAGACTCCTCAGTGGTGAGGGGGATAAACAAAACTATATGAATAATGATGTGTGATACTCTGTATGAAGATGCCTTTTCTTTCAACTCAGTATGTGCCAAAAAAAGATGCCAGGAACCTCAATTTCTTAGTCAGTCAACACTCCAAAGATAAGAAGCAGAAACCATCTGCACCTCATCTTATGACCTTCACAATGGAAGTAGAGGATGTATCGCCCCTTGACTGACTATTTTTGATAACCAGTCAGAATTTTCATCAGCTTGTCAGTGCAACACTACAACTTTCACACAAACTACCACAAACAGACACTGATTGCATTTCCCAAATATCAAACTAGTGCGTTATTTCAAAACAGCAACACTAAACATGTGAAGGAGCGATAATAATATAATAGTTAGTTGTCAGCAGTGGCAGACTCAGGCTGTTTGAGGGGCAGGGCAAAATATAAAGGGCCCCAGCCGTATGCGTTGGGGCACCAGCAAGCAGGGAAATAACAAAAAACACAACAGGGGCACTATCATGAGGGCACATTGTCTTGCACGTAGGCAAACCCATTTTCCAGTGTGTAGGGCAGCCTATATGGCACAGTATTGCATTTTCTCCACTGAAAAGGCACACTAGGGGTCACATTAGGTGACGTTTGACTTAACGTGATGCATGCTGGACTTAACATAATACAGGTTAAAAATGTTGTCCGACTTTCACAGCGCTGCAAAACCTTACCATGTCCCATGACATTAAAACCTTGCGGGAGCCAAGTGACCGCAGTTGATCTCCTCCTTCTGGCAGCTCACTTGTTATATATGGTCACCATTTACACTATAGTTTTCAATTCCAACAAGAAAGCTCACAAACAGTTTAGTTCAGGAGTATTATTGTAAAAGAAGTAATGCCCTTGTAGGTCATATTTTTACAGTAGCCTAGGTATATTCTCAAGTCTATGGTTCTCAATGACAAAAGAAATTTAAAAAAGTGTTAATCTGCAGGTATTCCATGTGTGACTGCATTGATTTCATTTACAATAAAAAAGGCAAATGCCGCGAGATAAGCCATTGTTCTAAACTCACGCACTATCCGAGAAGTTGAATGTTTCCGATTTGACGGCAGTGTTTTTATGCCCCCGCCCTGCAGTCGCTGGCAGCTCATATTTGCCTATCAAGTCAGCAAAAATCACCTGCAGTCATCTCAAACACACCTATTGTTTTGCACATTGGACCAGCGTAGAGGGCACCTTTGCAGTGGTTTTTCAAACATGAGTCCACCAGTGGTTGTCAGAATAAAACATTTTGCTTTGATGCATCTTTTTGTACGAAATGTAGCAAATCACTAATTTGAAGTATGGTAGATATGGCATAAAGTGGAAGTCGCGTGATATAATTAGCATCCCAGATTATTATTTAACTTTATTCAAACAGTTAGTTGCATCAAGATCTATTTTTTTCACAAGAGACCTGAGAACAACATTCATAGTCAGACAACCACACAAGCAGCATATAAGAACGACACATACGTGGCCAGACAACCAACAATCCATACAAGAGTAAATACAGAGAATAACAAGAGTCATCAAAAACTAGAGCAGTGATCAGTACCACATAATGATGCAAAACATCTGCCTCTGCCAGGTATGACCTCTCCAGCCTGAGGATTCTGGGTACTGTTGGTGAGCCGATCAACCCAGAGGCGTGGCAGTGGTACCACGAGGCCGTCGGTCAGGGCAGATGTCCCGTGGTCGACACTTTCTGGCAGACAGAAACTGTAAGCACCTGCATTTAACATATACCTCAGCTGGTATTAAGATATATTTTAGATTGCTGTTTGGAAGAGTTTCAATCCATTTGCTGTTTACTTCAGAAACATTTAAAATGACAGCAAACATGATTTAGTACACATTTCATTCTATATATATACATATATATGTGCTATATATATATGTTGTTGTTGATGTTACTGAAAATGTCAAATAAGGATGTTTTTCTCATGATCTGAGGACTGTATGGGCGATTCAGTTAGATGCAGATAAAATCAATCACGACCGTGGGAAACCAGCAAAGCCTTGTGTTGTAGGCTGCTATGACAACACACAAACATAACACACAGTGAAAAGCTAACAAAGGAATTTCACAGATATAAATTGTAGCCTATATTACACCAGGATGACCCGACAACAGCTGGAAACACTGTCAGGCTGCTGCATCAAGTTCAACCCAACCAAATGAAAAGTTTTTTTTGCTGACAAATTATTAATAACTCAAATATCAATCCACAAATGCAAGCCAAAACTGACAAACAAGTTCTACATTGCACCTATTACATGTGCCCTCCAACAGCTGTGTGTGTGTACACATGTGACCAAACTGACCAAAACAGGCTTAAAACCCTGCATCTGAACCAGGAAATAACTATAAATAAAATAACATTTAGGAAAAGAAACAAAATAGAAGAAACATAGATTTACAGCAACTTGTGACATTCCTAGCAGTTGATGTCAGGGCAACGTAGATAATCAACACCTATTATGCTACAAATTCACTTCAACTTTGAGTTTTCTGTGCCTTTATTTCTCTACAGGGAGGTCATGTTTTGACTCCTCTGCCTGCTGCCACACCGCTAAAACCAGGTTCTGCTGTAAGTGACAACATCTCCTTCAACACCGGTTATTTCATACATTTTTATGTAAATCTGAAACACACCCATATATCTTCCAGTGCGGTTCACCAATAAAAATCACGCTGATAAGGAAGGGTTGGACCTCTGTATGTGAGAATAGATCCATCAGTGTTACTACAGCACAGCACTTTTTCATATAGATTTCATATTTTCCATTTGTAGATTATGATCCAGGTTCTGATCTGAAAGCAATGTTGTAGCCAAACAGGAGCTGTTTTAATGAAAGAATGCAGTTATCTCACACTAAATCCACATCTCATATTTCAGACCTTTCCTTTCTTCGGGGTAGAGCTCGCAATCCTCAACGAACACGGAGAGGAATTGGAAGGCGAGGCTGAGGGTTATCTCGTAAGTTCCAATTCAATTCAATTACATACAACTTTATTTATCCCTGTTACAGCAATTGTAAGCAGCAGTTTGCCACTTGCTCGCCACCCAGATCAACAGATACACACAGTAGAAAGAAAGGGGGGAAACAATTCTTCAATAAGAAAACACATTCAAAGGCTGTACGCTCAAACAACTTGTCATAAATACATTAATAAATAACTGTAAACGATAAGTTCACCTCATACCTTAATATATTATTGTCTAGTCAACCATTAGTTTTGTTGCCTGAATATACTATTTAATTCTTGTTTCTGCTGCTTCCTGGCTTCATTTTTCTTTGCACTTTGCACTTTAAAAAACTGTTTTACTACTAGTATTAATTTGTGTTTTATTTGCTTATTTAACTAACATGGACTGCATCACATAGGGGTGGTGCAGTGGTTAGCACTGTCGCCTCACAGCAAGAAGGGCGTGGGTTCAAACCCCGGTTCTCTCCAACTTCCTTGGTGACCCTAAATTGTCCTTAGGTGTGAGTGTGAGTGGTTGTTTGTCTGTGTGTGGCCCTGTGATGGGCTGGTGACCTGTCCAGGGTGTACCCCGCCTTTCGCCCAATGCCAGCTGGGATTGGCTCCCGCGACCCTGTACGCAGGGTAAGCTGTTGACGATGGATGGATGGAACTTTTCATGTTATTGTATTGTCATTTTTTTTTTATTTGCCTAATTTCATGTAATTGTAGTTTTGTTTAATTGTGATTTCCCAATGTATAGGAATTTGTAATTTTGTTTAAAAAAGTATAAATAAAATTTATTCTTAATTCAAGTCAACTTTATTTATATAGCCAAACATCACAGATTAGAAATTTGCCTCAAGGGGTTTTACAATTTGTACAGCAAGCAACACCCTCTATCCTCAGACTCTCGATTCTGATAAGGAAACAATTATTGACTTAACTGGTATCAATAGTAGCAGTAGTAGCAGTGACACCTCTCTCACATGTATGATCTGTGTTTTCTTACAGGTATTCAGGAGGCCCTGGCCTGGCATAATGCGCACTGTGTACAGAAACCACGAACGCTTTGAGAACACCTACTTCAAGAAATTCCCGGGCTTCTATGTAACTGGTGATGGTAAGCCACAAAAACTACACTACATTTACACTCTGACTCTTGCAAAACGAATCACAAAATACTGCCACACAGATTGTATGTCATAAGAGTCTAAGCACCAAACATGGACATCTGGATTTCTCTCTAAATACAAACAGCCTCTTGAGGGAGAGAAAAAGATGCTGTAAAAACTCTTTTGGGGGTTATGCAACATGATTTCTCCCCTCTCAGGCTGCAGGCGGGATAAAGACGGCTATTACTGGATCACAGGAAGAATGGACGACATGCTGAATGTGTCAGGTACTGCGAGGTGTTCATTTCTGATAACTGCTCCTTCTCAGAACCTTTACAAAAGAGCTATTACAACACCAAACTTTGTTATTTTTACTCTGTTGTGGAAAATTATTACAATAACTTAAAATGGTCTTAGATAAAACATCTTGTAGCCTTTTGAGATGATTTTCTCATTTTTCTCTCCAGAAACTTTACTCACCTCTTATATGTTTATTTTATGTCACTCATGACTTTGTATTTTTTTGGGTCTTTCAGGCCACCTGATGAGCACAGCGGAGGTGGAGGCAGCTCTGACGGAGCACCCGGCTGTGGCGGAGGCTGCGGTGGTGAGTCGGCCTCACAAGGTGAAGGGCGAGTGTCTCTACTGCTTCGTCACCCTCAAAGACAGCAGGGAGTTCAACTGCACACTGGTGGAGGAGCTGAAGAGACTGGGTGAGGCTCCCACACAGGGGGTTTACTTGAGGGTTAAAGGAAAAACCCACTCAAATTTATGTAAATTTTGATTTTAAATAGTATTATTGGCTAGTGTTATCTGTTTTTGTCTCCATTCATTGTGGAACAAATGTGAGATCCATAAGTACATCATATCAAATGAAAAAAAATGTTAAATGGTTATAAACAATAGCTATTGGTTCATTTTCCCTTTAAGTTGTATTTTCTTATTCTCAAAAAGTATAACACTATGATAATATTTTAGGCCTTTATTGTTTTCTCATTTCTCTCTCTCTCTTGCTTAATTTTTTATTCTGTTTTTGTTTCATGTATCTTTTTAACTTTGGGTATGTATATACAGTACTGTGGTTGGGATGTTTTTGATAAGATAACATAGGATGAAACTTTATTCATCCCAAGAGGGAAATGCTAGTATCAGAATATCACTTTGTTGCATTTGCAACCTACAGTTTATATTATAGTGTCTATAGTATATTTATATGTGAATTATTTGTATCTCTCTCTTGTAACATTAAGCAATAAAAACATTTTTGGAAAAAAATATAGCCGACATGCCCATCCAACATCTTTGAATGAAAGCAGTCAATTTGGGGAATTTTGACTGGGACATATGTATAAATAATGTCTAAATAAGTCCACTTAAGGCACAAGCTTTATTCTGCAATGTTTCCTTTTCTGTATTTTTTTTTCAGTGAGAGAGAAAATTGGACCAATCGCCACGCCGGACTTCATCCAAAATGCTCCAGCACTCCCAAAAACTCGCTCAGGTAACAGCTCAACACCTCTTTAAACCAACATCCTCCTCCTCTACTCTCCCCCTCAGCACCATCCTTCTCCTCTTCCTCTGATTTCGCTTCATTTAGGGAAGATCATGAGGCGAATCCTCCGGCAGATCGCACGCAACGAGAAGGATCTGGGCGACCTTTCGACCCTGGCCGACCCGATGGTGGTGGAAGTGCTGTTCAGCCAGAGATGTGAAGCTGCTGCCTGAACACACACCTCACACCTTTCTTTCTTCTTGCTATGCAGCGGTACGGATGATCACAAACTGCTGGTTCTGGATCAGCGTCTGGGTGTTTGTGTGCACTCTTTGGGACTGAATGAAGGGGCTGGGATCAGAAAAATTATACCGCTGACACTGAGACATTTAAAATGGTTATGTGGAGAAAAAGATAATAGAAAACAAGTGAAAAAGTCAAATCAAATGTCATTAGTGCCATTTGGTGCCATATGATACGTCTTTTAGTTCCATGTCTCATCGTAATTCTTGAAACAGAAAAGTCAGCTTTGCACAGCTTGTTTTTGACTGACGACTGATGTATATTTTTAATATGTGATAGGCTACATTTCCATGACCCGGGAATAAAGTGTTTAATCTGTTTGTTCCCTTTGTCCTTTTATTTTATACTCAGCAGCTGATTGACGCCCTCATGTGGTAGGAATCATACTCTACAACTGCTATCTGATGGTTTGCTGTAAAGAGCCTTTTTACTCCCCTGCCAAGGTTTTCTACCGTTTGTAGTTTAATGATGCACGGAGCGCAGACACACACACACGCACAGCTTTGATGATGTGAAGTGCAGCAGGGAGCCTCGATTATGGGGGGACAGAAAGATCGAGGGGTGGAGGGAAGAAGAACAGAGAGGGCTGTTTCATCTTAAGTGCACTCGGTTCTTTGGAAATTACAAGCATCAGTGGTCTTAAAGGAAGAGAAAAAAAAGAACAATAAAGTGTTATTTTGGGGGATTACATTGCAGCAGGTTGTTATGAAAGTAGCTCGGAGGGACTGCTCTCTCATCTTACTGTTAATGTTGGGTCATGTTCAGTCTGTGGACTTCCTTTGTTGTCTCCTTTACACCACTCTATGTCACATGCATGCAGCGATGTGTGTGTGTGTGTGTGTGTGTGTGCATGCGTATATGCGCGTGTATGCGTGTAGGAGGGAGGACAAGGAGAAAAGAGCCCAGAAACACAGTGATAGGCAATATTACATCATCACCCCCAGTAGCAGAGGAGTGGTTACCATGACAACCCCCCCACCTACCCACCTACAGACACACACACACACACACACACACTTCTTCAACTGCCCCTTTTTTCTTTGTCCACAACAGCAGTCTGGAGATGTTTTGCAGAAGTCTGCAGCTCTCCTCTTGGTCTCTCTCTCTCTGTCTCTCTCACACACAGGAAGGTTTCAACATTTTCTGCATCTCTTGACCTTGGTGTCATTGAAACCAACAGCTTGGCAAATGTACAATTAATATCATCATATAATTTAAAAAGGATGGCCGAAAGCTGTTTCAGAGAGGTGTTGATTCAGCTCTCATTTAATTATTGATAAGTCATATTTCAGCCTCCATATATCAAGACATATAAAATCATAACACACAGCCACACACAAATAGAAATGTCCATCCAAACCTGTACTCTTCACCCCCATGCCACAATATAAAATAACAATAAAGCTGACACAGGAAACATATCAGGAAGCAAACACACAAACGATAAAAATGACCTTTTTTCAATACTAAAAATCTGACTTTGACTGAGTACAACACAAACACGTAGAAAGCATTGCAGTACATTATGTTCATACAAAGTACGTGTGTAACTTTGACTAAGATTTACTTATCTATTGTTAAAATAGCATTTACTATCACAATGCTCATTGTTCCTAATTGATCATCGCTGAAACATTTGTTGTTGTTGTTTATTTGAAAACTTCAGAATTACCGCCCTAAGGTAGCTCAGTGCTCTAAAAACTGCAATGATTACAGTATGTACAATACTGTAAAACACACTACGTGATTACCATCCATAATTACATTGCTAATTTGATGTGGTGATGAACCCAATTGGTAACCATAAACGGTAAAAATGGGTGTCAGCTCCAGCAGTTTCTTTCAGCATGGAGCAGAATAGACAGCAAGGCAGTGGAATCAATCAGAGGGCTTGTGGACAGGCTCAGAGAGGTGGGCAAGGCCCCTGTCAGAGAGGACAAGCTCAGATTAGACAAACCTATATGTTGTGTAATCTGTCTTTTACAGTATACTGTAGCACACCGGTGTCAGCACTTGTAAGACGATTTGAAGCATATTGCATTGTTTTGTTGTTGGATTCATTGGTAGTGCAAAATATTAGAAACACCTATCAGTATATATTTTCAATGTCATATCCCAGAAAAAGTAGAATACTAATTTCGGTTACTAGAGATACACATTTAGCTATTGTCAAAGTAAAAAGCTCCTCTGTATTTCAGTTATTCCCTGATCAGTTCTCACAGTTCTTATCAATTGTAAAATTACAGTTTTTGTTGATCGCTTTGGTCCTATTATCACATGTATATGGTCAAAAAAAAATCACAACTCTTATTACAAAACTCCAAATTCATTACACATATAACACAGCCAGTCTTTTGTTCAAAACTTGCCATTGTGCATTCATTTGGATTGTAAACATCTCAAAGTTTCTCCTGAAAAGTCATGAGAACATCTGGTTTAATTACCAAAACACAACATAAGGATATCTTTTCAGTTTAGTCGTTTTAACGATAGATAGATAGATAGATAGATAGATAGATAGATAGATAGATAGATAGATAGATCTTTACGATGCAGGAGCAGTATGTCATCATCCTCTGTTGTTTGGAGTCTGATGTGCTGTCACTTTGTCAGGACTGCTCTGTCAGCAGTGACCACCGATGCTTCAAAGTCAGAGCTTGTGACATTCAATCTCCTTAATTTAGTTACAAACACAAAACCGCTGTGTGTGTTAGACGACAGCAGAGGCCAACATTTGACTGTAAAATATATGACAATTGATATCAGATATCCGTGTGGTCCACCTTTGATATGATAGATGTGATATTACAGTTGTGTTGATTAGCCTGATATTGTGAGAACTAATAAATATTTGGCAACAATCTGAAAGAATGCAAATGTCATCATGATTATTTGATTATGTCTGATTTTCTGTTCAAATCTGGTTGTAGCCATACTAATAGTGGAAGTAACAGCATCCTGAGTTTAGGTTTTACATTTAACTGCACTGATTCTGATCAACCTGTCAAGTCTAAAGGTACTGTATGAAAATTATTAGTGGAGCTAAACACTATTATTCACTTTTTTAAAAAGCAACACAATCCTTTTTTCCATGCATGTCAAAAAGTGCACGTAGATTGTAAGATGGTGTATTCAAATTTAGTTAAGTCAGTTAAGTTAAATTTGTTTTATTTGAAATGGACATAGCAATAGCATTAGAACTGCAACATATAATTATGCACAAGTTTAGCACAAGCACAGACACAGGAAACTGGAGATTTTGGACCCATGCGCAAAATACCAGTTAGAACAGGTTCAGTTACACTTAATTGTAATGACAAACACACCAGAGGGCACAGGCTTACGGTAAATGAGGCAGGCAAGGGGTAAAAACAGGTAAGCAGGCCAGAATTGAGCCAATCAAATTCAGTAAACATTATAAAATAATCCAAACTCCAAAAATCTGAAAGTAAGTCCGACAAACCAGACAGAGGGGAAATTACACTGAAAAACACTAGCGATGGCGCTGGAAAGATAGACAGACAATGAAAGACGATCTCACAACAGACAATGAGGAGTCAGGAGACACACACATAAATACCCAAAGTGGGGTGGAGATAACAAGGACAGGTAGGGACAGGGCAGGGGCAAAATAAGGAACCTCATGCTGTTTGACATGGAAATGGTCAAATGTACAAGGTACTTAATATTTGATATGTCACTTATACCACTCTAATGCACATTTGTGTATTACACGGATTGTGGGGACAATATTTTGGATACACCTTTCGGGGACTAACCCCCCATTTGGAGACAAAAAGCTGGTTAATGAGCAATCTTTAGGATTAAAACTTGTCATGTCCCAATTCCATAATAGACACTATAGCTGTGAACTAATCTTAACAGTATGCTGTTTTTTGTACAAAAAACATACTGATTTATACCAACAGGAAATTATACAATACCTGTGCTGCCAGACATCAATAAAAGTTTTACTGCAGCAAATTAAAAATGTTTTTCCAAAACCTTCATAGCTATGTTTTGTTTTCCGACTTGTTCCTGAAGCTGTTTCACCACAATCCACAAATTATTTTCAGCTGTGAGCACCTTCATAGCATTGTGGGAGACTACCGCACATCACCAGCACACTCAAATGTGTTTCTTAGTCAACTGTTTAGCATGTAGTATAGATTTGAGACATGGCTTTGTTAAGGTTAGGGAAGAGTCAGGAGTAGTCTATTGCAAATACATTTTGACCTTTCAAATGTACATGTTTCTGTCCGAATTTTGTAGGAAAAAGCAGAGCATTATTGTGTGGGAAGCACTGTAACTCCTTTCCAGCCTTCCTCAACCCCGAGCCGCCGGAGGATTACGGCCCAAAATCCCTCGTCATTGTTTTTGATGTGGTATCAAACCGGTTGAGAGAGAGAGAGAGAGAGAGAGAGAGAGAGAGAGAGAGAGAGAGAGAGAGAGACTCAGCCTCAGATGTTGTGGGACCCAGAGGTTTCACCACTATACTGCACATCCCGGCCTGTGCAGAGGCAGAGCCCCACTGTGAGTGGCACAAAGATGTGAGCTCTGTGTGTGTGTGTGAGAGAGAGACTGGGCACGTCCAAAGCAAATTATACAGACAAAAGGGGAATCAAGGAGGCACCAAATGAATGGCGTCTTTTTGTTTTTTGCTCTTCAAAAGACAGACAGATGGTCTAACTGAACTTGACGCCTGCTGGACATTAGTTATTTTGAAATGGAACTGTATGTTGAAGAAGAAGCGTTGTGATGACCTGGTGTGGGTCAATCATAGGTCACAGATCAGCCAAAATATGAAGCTTCTGGTTGTGTGTGCAAGTTTTAATACTGAACAGAGTGCAACAAGTTTATTTGGTAGGTATAGTTACAAGTTATTGTAAAGATTCAGGTCCTACATAAAAAATATGAGTTTATATGTTTGTATTAAAGATTAAACCAGTTATTGACAACCTTTTTAGCTTGCAACCCCTTACAAAAAAGCAGCGCCTTGTTGTTAGCAGCTCCACCAAAGCGACATTTTCCCTTTAAAGGGAAGCTCCACTGACTTTACACATCACAGGTCTTTGGGACTACTACTACACATGTGTAAAAAGTTGTATAAAAAGCCTTTCGTGGCTGCAGAGAGAGCCAGTATAAATTGCCTAAAGTGATGTCATTTGAGTCAATGTCAGTTAGGATTACAAGTTTGAAAATGAAAAGAAATCTGGAGGTGTGGCGTTAGCGGCTCAAGGCTACATAAACTGCTACTAGCGTACACATCTCAATCTCTGGCATAACTGTTGGTGATCAAGTTCCAAATACTGCCAACACACT